TATATATATATTTATATATATATATATATATATATGTTTGTATGTAAATTTATATATATATATATAGATTGTAAATTTATATATATATATATATAGATTGTTTAAGATTCAAGGAAGATTATTCCAAGAAGATGGGGCTATCGTTAAGCGTCAGCAGCGAAGCGAGAAGATTCTTGGGAGATGAAAAAGAAAATCTGCGACGTGTAGGAAGATGATAGGACGCGCGTGGCATCTCCTCAACATAATCATCATTGTAATCGTCATCGTCATCTCCCACTGGGCTCTCCGTTTCCGACGATTGAGAGAGAGAAAGGAAGAGTGAGAGATGTCTGTCCTGTCTCTCTCTTGGGTGTCAGTCTCGCAGCATATCTTCACCTCCTCGACGAGGCCGGCCAAAATCCCAATAGAATTTAATCCAATCACGATATATATATATTAATATTTAACAAAAACGTATAATCCTTATGCTCTCCTCTCTTAGCGTGTATATGTGTTTACGTAGGATCTCTGTATATATCTATATATATATATATATATATATACAGGTATGCGTGTGCGCGCACGCGCGCGCGTTTATTAATATCCACTCACGATTTTCAAACGTTCCACAAGAGTAACAACACGAGATATCATCACCGAGGACCCAAATCGTTCACACTCTTTATAACACACTTGATATTAATACTAATACTAATACTACTACTACTCTCCCTCTTTCTTTCTATCTCTCTCTCTCTCTCTCTTTCTTTCTTTTTTTTCTTCCAAATTTTGTCACGTCAAAAGAGAGAGAGCGCACGGTTGCGCGTGATCGTTCGTCGTTATCAAATAAATATATATCCTATGAGTGTGGGGGTATATATATACATACATATATATATATATCTGTATATATATACGTATAATATATACGTTAGTCACATTCAAACACAAATAGATATTATCCTCTGTTAGAAAATTTTTTTCCTTCACTTGTCGCAAACGCGTATATTATTTAGTAGTGGCACTAGCGTATTTATAACAACAAGATGATTTCAAAATAAAAATAAGGAAGGAAGATAGGACAGAAAGAGAGAGGAGCGTAAAATAACGGAGTTACATCTTCTACCGCGCGCGAACTCGAACTGGCGGCGGCGGTGATGGCGCGCAGCGAGCGACAGGCAGAACGCCGCCGGCGGCAGCTACGAAGACTTACGAACGAATAAACGAAGGAACGAACGAACGAACGAACGAACGAACGAACCAACGAACGTACGAACAACGAACGAACGAATCAACGAACGAACAACAGCCGAAGACGTTGAGGATTCGACGCGGTGACACGAGAGCACGCGTTAACCTCCTCCTCTTACGTTTAAACGCGACGACTCGCCGCGAGGATCGCGATAACGATAACAACACGAGGATGATAACACACTGTAGGGTAGTAGAAGCACGAGGCGCCGAGATATCGCGTTGCCGATGTCTTACGTTTAAAACGGATATAGAAGAAGAGAGTAAGAGAGGAATCGAAAGCGGCGCGTTTCTCCTCGCGGCGATTACTGAGGAACCGGTACGGGAAGAGAGGCCCTCCTACCGTAACGACCACCACTGCTTCTTTCAGCCGGCTCTCTCTATACTCGACTTATGGAAGGCGGTGGAGGAGGAGGAGACACGCTATACGCTCCTGAATCTCACTCACTCTCCCTCTCTCTCTCTCTTCTCTCTCTCTTCTCTCACTCCCTCTCCCTCTTTCTTCCTATCTCTCTGCGTTTATCGGTGTATGCCCATGACTGTATATACGTGAGTTCAGTTTCCCCCACGAAAAAGCTACCACTACCACCACTTTACGCTTGTATGACGCGCGCAAGAGAGAGAGAGAGAGAGAGAGAACGACGAACGAACGAACGGGAGAAGAGAGTTGGGCGCCTACTAGCGTGTTTCAGGTCCTGCGCCGTCCACGGTCGTTCGCCAACTGTCAATCAGCGCAGCGCTTAACCACGAGGAGTGGGAGGTAGGCTCGACCACGCCCAGTCGACGCGACCAATACGTCCCCCTCTCGCCTCTGTGACTCCGCCTACCGACCGCTCGCTAACGAGCCGCCGCCGTCGCCGCCGCCGCTGAGTCAAGCCGCCAACGCCGATACTAGCGCCTCCGGTGACACGACCGTGAACGACCCCGGCCTCCGCCATCGCTACTCCACCACTACCAATGAGACCGTCGTCGAATGAACATGAAGAGGGACGAAGAGGAACCCGATGACGAGACCTTCTCCTCTGCTGCTTCTTCTTCTTCTTCTTCTTCTTCTTCTTCTTACTCTTATTCTTATTCTTATCTTTTTTTTACATGTACATCGAATTTTCTTATTTTTAAGAGGAAAAATTCAAATCCGATAATTCCAGCAACAAAATTGCATGTCCTACTCTAAGAAGAAGATTAAACGATGTGCCAAATAATAACTTAACTTGTGTTATTCGTCGACATTTAATCGCCAGTGTAACAAAGTTGCAACGAATTAAATTGTAAACGTTTACTCTCTTATCCTCCTGATCAATATGTTTCTTTAAACATGAATAATCTTCCCTACTCGCGTGACATATTACTACACACCGATGATAACTCTCTTCACCCTGTTCCATATTTCTTTCTATATTTCTTCTCTTCCTTTACTATTTCTTTCTTTCTTTTTTTTTTTTTTTGTTAGATTAATTCGTGGTCGGCGGTCCTAGCAAGGTTTGAATGAACGGAACAGCTGACTGCGCGTAGAAATTGGGTCGCGAACGTGCGGTTTCGAACTTTCAATGGTATTCGGCGTTCGGTGACTAATAGCGACGAGGGAGGAAGAGGAGGAGGTGGAGGAGGAGGGCGAGGAGAAGCTGTCACCGGCATCGCTGCTCGTTCCGTCGCCCTCCTGCCGCTCGATTTTATGATTCCATCATTCTCTCTCTCTCTCTCTCTCTCTCTCACCCTCTACCATATACACATACATATGCACACATACTACCCTAGAAACATGCACGTGTGTGCAAGGCACATGCGGCCTCTCCAACCTTGTTCTTCCTCTTTTTATCATCTTATCTATTCGTCCTTCCGCCTTTATTCTCAACTTCCTGCATAATGTCTCGTTATCGAGAGTCGATTTTCCGAAAGAGAAAGAGAGAAAAAAAAAAAGTAAACAAATATACATTTATTTCTTTTTTCTCCTTTCTTTAATTTTAATCTTGAAATCATTTAAACGTATAACTCTTTGAGAAACTTTGTTCGGAATAAAGTTTACCTTATTCTAAAAAAAAAAAAAACATTTTTCAAGAGCTTGTTATTTCGCTATAAATCATGCTGAGAAATATACCCATCGATAGGAATAAAGAAAACTAAAGAAACGAAAAGAAAAGAAATGAAAAGAAGTATTTGACAATGTTAGGATTTGGTCCCTTTCAAGTGAAACCTTTCAAGTTGGCCCATTAACTTTTCTACCATGTTTTCAATTGAGGACAAGAATCTTTACAAAATTCGGATCTTTTTAAACGGATTATCAATGGCTCGTTAAGTTTCATGCACAGGTATGAAGAAGTAGTTGAAGTATACAACATAAACAGGATAACTAATAATATTTATCACAAACACTGAAATGTTTCTCTTGTTAAAGATATGTTAAATATATGCATCATTATACTATGTTTATACGCATCTCAATGCATCTGTGTGCATGCATTATTTATCTTATAAATATATATACATCTACACGATATATAATTTATCTATATAATTCATCGGATAGCAAACACATATCCTGCATATAGATAATATATACATCACAGTTTTCTAAATTTCAATTAAATTTATCGCACTTATGTATATTTCACGATTATTTAACATTATTTTATAATTATAAATAATTTCGATGTTTTTTTTTTGTCAATACAAATATTTTCAAAATAATATCCTTTTAAATGTATATTTGTAAATACCTATATATAATAACATAAAATGTAGGTATATTTTTATGTAGAAATGATTTAATTATAAAAAAAAGTGTTTCGTATTTTTGAAAATAAATTCAAAACTAAAAGGCCTCTTTTAACTGTCTTAATTTAAAGATTACATAACTCGTCTACAGGAAAGGAGAGAATATAAACTCTCAAGTTGACTACAACGAGATTATATTATTATAATAGAAAATGTTTGAGAAGACTATGATACGTTCGTCTAACAGATAGAATATAGAATCGTGTCGTCAAGGTACAATGCATCTTTTCTCATCCTCCCTTTCGTTCCTACGTAATTTCTGCGAAACGTTCCTGCTCGTTTTCTCTCTTCCTTTGGCTATTGTGCTACTATTCTGAGACATGACCATGTCAAAGCTCTTCTACCATTTCTATACCTTCTGTTAATCCTCAAACGAAGACATAAGTATTTAAGAATCAGTAGTGCAATAATCCTACGAAATTTCATTCACAATCGTATCCCATTACAAATCTTATACTTGTTTAAGTTTGTTGATAAAATATAAAAAATGATATTCACTTTTTATTGATTCTGAATGTCAAGAAGAATTCATAGATTAATAATATGATCACTAAAAGATTCATTATCATTTTCTTTCTTGAATGCATGCAACCATCGTCATTTGAAACACCTCATAGGAGTTTAATCTACAAGGAAGCTTGAACAATTCGCAGAAGTTAGGTACAATGGCTCACGATACATAACTAATTGTAAATGGAAAATTTTTCACCCGGCATTAGCTAACATACGTGCGATGAATATTAAATATATACATACATGTATATCCGGTTTGGCAAACACATTCCTATACCGGCTGTATGCAATAAATTAATACAATTATTGAAACGAATTTTTGCATATGATACTTGCGTGTACTTACTAAGACCAAAAGTTATATTATTGTCATTGAAACTTTATTTCTAAAGAAATAATTAATAAAAACACG